GAGAGAGAGAGAAAAAAAGAGCGAGAGAGAGGACAGAGAGAGACAGAGCTTGGTTCGCCTGAACGGAACCTGATCCAGTATTTGATCCCGGACCGTGCGCGTGGTAAGCGCGCGTTTCAACTGCCACCACATCACCTCCGGCTTCCCAATAAGACACCTGTGGAAATGGCTAGTAATGTCTCTCAAACCGGTTACTACTTGCACGTACACCCATCCAAATTTTCTTTGAGCTCTTTTAGCCTATTTTGCAAGTTGCATGCATTATAGGCCGTACGATCGAAGACGTCACCCATGGGTTATTAATTAAGAGAGAGGAGGTGAGTTGTCATCACCTGTCAAACAGAAGAACTGTGAGGTAATATTTCCAGCAGTCAACTGGAATGGCCGCCTCCAAAGATAGAATTCGTCACCCTTATTAAGAGGTGTAAGACTATGGCACAGAAAGTTATTGAGGTGAGCGGGTAAAAGGAAATAACGCAATCGCTCGGCGGGCGTAAGATGCGGGTTCAGTCCCGTCTGAGATCTGACCTTTTGCCCATAACTCGGCATTCATGCAACAATTTACTGGGAACAATGAACAATGAAAAACTAGAGATGTGATTTCCCCCAAATCGGGAGAAACTACAATGAACTAACCAAATTTTTGGTGATCTTTTTGAATTCATTGTCATCTTCCTGAGTGGCCTTTCTTCCAATAGTATACAGATCCATGTAACGTCCAGTAATCTCTCTATAATTTATATTTCGTACTGGTAGCTTCAAAGGAAGAAACAAAACAGTCCAAAGCTCACTCTGCATTTCTATTGACCATGTCCGCTCGGATGCTTCCGTCGTCGTCAATTTGTTTAGGACAGCAAAGCATGGCGCACATCAGATGTATCCTCAGCTGGTCCTATAAAAAAATCGAGAGTGTTTCCTCAAATATAACTTTTCTATTTTCGCATATGAACCTGACGCTGCTGAGCACATCCTGTTTAGGTCTTGGTCATACTATGACCTATTCCGCCGCAGGAAAGTACAGGATGGATTAGTACCTCTCTTGAGAGGTATTGACATCGACTCGATTTCAATCCTCTTAGGGGGTTCTCGGAATCCTATCATTACCCGATTTTTTCGATTCCGCGGTTCTTTCGCCACATCGAAGAATCACGGGATCGGGAGGACCCGCTAAATGAAGAGCGAGGAGAAGCCAAAGGACTAACACCGATCCTATATAGTTCGCGGACTCTTTATTGCCCGATTTCCACAATTCCGCGATTCTTTGACCCAACAAGTATAGTCTGGTTCACTGCGGACGAAGGGACGTGTCAGGTGGGATGACTAGGGCACGGTGTCAAACCTGCTCCCCACCAACTTTTGAAACGAGCAAGTGACAAGACTGTCAAAGGAAAAAAAAGAGGAGCTAAGAATCAGGTTGAAATGAGAAATAGTGAAAAAGGGGTTGAATACCGGAAGAAAGGACATAAAGGGAAGCTGGGGTCTGGTTTATCGGAGCGCGCTTGTAATTGTAACATGTTCAATTACAAGCGATAGCAACAATTGAAGCGCGACAATCAACGCGCTTTCAAGCGCGACAAGTCTGAACGCTGCCGAAGAGAAAGAAGGACAAATTCTCTTAACTCACCGCATCATCAAAATTGAAGTTGACGCGGGGAATGTTCAATGAGGCGAGATACTCTTCTGTAGGCATTACACGATA